TTTTGGATCCAGGTTTTTCACTGTGAATGTCCCAGTCTCAGCAACAGTCTTGCTGGCTGAAAATTTCTCTGTGCCAAAATCTCCATAGTCATGCTCATTATCTTTTTTGCCTGTTGTTGCAAACACAATTAGTGTCATGGTTTCTCCAGGTAGCTGTCTGAACCAGTACATCCAGAGATAGTCACTACCCTTCGTGTGATTACACTGCATTGTTGCACTTTTACCCTCCTTTTCCCACAGACTGAGTGTCTGCTGGACATCACTTCCATCAGCACCACCTGTGTGTATAGGAGTGAAAGTTAAAGAAGTAAACCTTTTAAGTCTTGCAGAAGACAGTTTCCCAGAATGTTAGATTTCTAGAATATGCATAATAGTCTAACACTACTACCTTTTATCCAGAGCACAGATACCAACAAGCTGAGCAGACTGTGTCTGGTGATAGCCATGTTCTAAAACTGAGAGCGTTTTTATTCTGTCAGTGTAGTTACACTGATATGAAGAGTTACAGGTAGGTGTGTCACTGCAGTGTGCCACATTGATCATGTGGGCTGATGTAAAATATGCTTTCTTTCTGTAGGCTGGGTTTGTTGATGTATATAAATATGAGTATAGTATGAGCTGAAACTGATTTTTGATTAACGTAATTTTGCCAATAATTAATATATTTTTTATCAATATAAATTAAAACAGTGTAATCAGTAAGTCTTTGAATGTGGTTGGTGCAGGTGGTTGTCACTCTTCTCTGAGAGATGCAACAAGTTAATTGTAGTTGTTATGTTTCATTTTAATATTCAGACGATGTTAGGAATATATCAAAGAATACAGTACACAAACCAAAAAGAATGTAATTTAAAAGCAAAAATACTCTAATCTGTTTAACAGTAATCTGTTTAATTTGCAGAGGTTTTTGTTCAGCTCTCTGCTGTGTCACTATTTTGACAGTATGGAGGTCTGTCTGTCATCATTCCAATCAACACAACCTGCGTGTGTATAACAGTGCAGAATTCCATATTGTCACAGCATCACACAGATTAAATAAAGACCTGCTGGTGAGTGTGTCCCTGCACTGTGAATTGTCAGTAACTATGTTGGTGTGGTGGTATTGTGGATCCCCCTTTGGTACATCCCAGTATATTTGATCTCCTCATGTGATACAGTGTTTGGTTATCTTTTTTTTTTTTTCAAAATCACAGACACACATTAGTGCTAAAAGATGTAAAGAATAACACTTACTATCACAATTTAGTAATAATGTAGTAACAGGAGACTAACGATGTGGAAACAAGAAGGAAATATTGTAGTCTGTGAAGTTTTTATACATATAAATTGTTCGAATTGAATAAATAAATACAATGAATGCACATTAACAGGCTTCTATATATTTCACATATGGTTCAAATGCCATTGTTAAGCTTAAATCATTATTCCCCAGTTTTCCTAATATTTTTTTATTATCTTGCATCTAGTCCAATATACATTAAACAAGAAAAATGAAGACTGTTTAAAACATAAGATGACAAAACGGTGACACTTCTGTGAAAGTGGGTGAGAACAGACACTATGGCATTATAGAAGAACAGCTAATTGTATTAGTAGGCAATAGGGATACTGGGGAAATTGCAAGCAAGAGCATACTTTTATTATTTCCTTAAAAGGTGTCTTCTGCAGCTCCTTCAAGTACAGTTAGTTTGGGAAGTATCTTAGAATTTTTTTGAAGATGTCTGCAGGAGTTTGTGAGTATTTCATGATTGTAAAACCTGCAATAGTTGATTTTCATACATGCTCTGAATTCAACAACAAACTGCTTCAAATGGCAGTTTGGACATTTAAATTAAGTCATGACAACAGTTTACATGAGCAGAACTCTACTCTTACTTTACTCAGAGACTTTATGCTTAGACTGCTGTCACACAGGTTTATCCAGCAGAGGTCACCCTGAGATCTGTTGAGCTGAATCCTTCAGACTGCACACATGTACAGACTTCACTGAGCAGAAGCTCAGACAAGGTGAGTATAATTGTCAGGATGACGTCAGTGAAGTATAGTGAAGAATCAGCATACCCTTTGCCTGATATAATTTCTAATAGTTTTTTGTGGGGGTTTTTTGGATGAAGTGTAACAGATGTAACTGTTGCAATTTCACCCTCTCAAGCAGAGAGCTATTCAAATCCTAAATACTGCAATACAACTTCAGTACCCGCACAAAATAAATGTGCTGCTTCTAATGTATGATAGATTAACTGAATTGAATCGATGATGTCTTCTTCACTATTTTTGCATCTCTGAATTTGTACCACAAGGGGTCATGCAGCATAACTAAGATTTTGTTTACAGTGATGTGCAGAAGTCTAAGACCACCCCTCCGTTTGCATTTTTGTTGTCTTGAACAATAGTTCCCAGTTCTTTTCTAGTTTGTTGAACATTGACTCAACTTTGGCTGCTTTTTCTCATTACTTATTTTCAGTCTAGTCCTTGTACCTGTCTTTGTCCTGGTTCAGAGGAATTATTTTGGTTTTCCCCAAAATTTCATCTGGACGTAGCGTTCTCAGTTGGAGAAACATTTCTTCAGTCGCTTGGATGAAAGCAACTGAAAATGCTACATCCAGATTAACAGAATTAACCTTTTTGGGATTTCCTTACCTGGATGATTGAGCCTCCTTCAAGATATTTTTGTTTTTGTTTCTACTTAACACCACTAAACACCTGAGTCATTCATACACAAAAAGGTACCTAACTCAAGGGATGAATGAAACAATTTTAGGTAGTAATAAATGTATAAAGATACAACCAGACTATTCAAAAGCATAGAATTTCCCCAGTGTGGAAAATCTATCTTATCTCTTTATATGATTTCTCATTGAAACTGTGTGTTGGAGATCTTGCCAAAATTAACAGAACAAAGAACATAGAAAACTACTGTCAGATTTTAGTCTGCTTTTCATCACCATTTGGAACACATACTATTGGAAACAGATTCATTTTTCAGCATCAACAACCCAACAATCCCAAACACGCTGCCACACTTTTTAGAATAATTTTTGCTTCGTATTTTTAGAGCTCTTGCTGCAATGAGCGATGAGAAAGATAATTTCACTCCCATATTAGCTTCTCTTCATTGGCTCAGTTTTAAATCCTGAATTTAATTTGAAATTCTTTTCTTCACATATAAGGTTATGAAAAATCAAGCCCGTCATATCTTAAAGGGGTCCTAGTTCCATATTGTCCCCAGAGCACTTTGCTAGGCTTTTCCTCCCTAAGCCTGGCTCTGCTCTGTTTGCATGTTTCAATAAATTTCTGCACCTATTTCCCATTTTCTTAAGAAAATATAAAGAAGGGTGCCTCAAGAGTTTTGCAGAGTACCTGCTTGAAACTGAACATGAGGATGCAGCATTTTGTTTGTGTGTTTGCTGAAGTGAGTTAGCGACTGTTTTTTATTATTTTTATTTCACCTTCAGTTTTATGTAACAAACATTATCCTATGAGTTACCTCTCTTGGTAAATGTGATAAAAAAAAACAAAAAAACAACAATAATAATGCATATTCATAGTGTTCTAGGAAACTTTCTTATTGTCATTTCTTTGTAACCTGAAAAATATTTGTACACAAATAAAACACACAAAAACAAAAATACCTTGTCAGTGTGAGACTCTGCAGTTTGAATACTTTTGTTACAGGATGTTTCCGTTTGAGCTCTCTACAGCTATTATAAAAATGACCAAAATAACTATACTTTAGATTGCATAGTTCTCTCTTTTAATTGAATCTTCAAATACAGTTGATTATTAAGTTATCGTATAGTTTTTGGAATGCATTATCTTTGCTCTGTTATTCTAAAATCATAAATATTTACATTTAAATTATGAAAGATATGGAAAATTTCCACCTATAAAGATCAAGGTTTCCCAAAGGAGCTATAATTATCTTGCACGTGTTTATAGCTCCATATTTCCGTTGCTGCCTCACAGATGTTATTTTCTGTTTATCTGACAGGAGCAACCGCAAACATGTTTTTAAAGGAAGCAAATGAGAAAAGTAGAACACATTCTTCATCTCACTGGGGCACTGACAAGAAAAACAAGATGTAGTGAACGGTTTAGACAAAAGCTATTGTGTAACTGCCTTCACTCAAACACCCTCAGTGGGGTTTTTTTTTTCATTGCTTAAGCATGCATTAAAAAAATAGTTGCCATTTAACAGCAGCACAATTAACTTTACATTTCTTATCTGCTCCAACTAAAAAGATTCAAATAGAAATATCTGTTCCAGATCAGAGTTAAGAGCTGTTGTAGGTGTTGTAATTTTATTGCTTTGGTTAGCACAGAAATGGAAGTTTTTCCATCTGTTTGCTCATTGATGTGCAGAGCAGGGGGGTCGGTGCAAAGCTGCAGGTGCACACTGTGAGCCGGAGGTTGTGGTAAAGTGGAAGGTTGCACCTCCGTCGTTTCTCAGCACAGAGAGCGAGCTGCAGGCTGCTCTGTGACCACATCCTCTCCTCTGCTGTTGCACTTTACTCCTCTGCAGGGTTTCATGCCCTGGTTTGACTTTTTTGCTTTGACCTTCTTTAGTACACAGATGACTGTTGTTACGTGTACACTCACATTCTTATCGTTTCCTACTGACAGCTTTTTACATAAAGAGAATGTAAAATGTAACACAACTGACTTATATGTGCAAAGTGAAAACAGAAACAATGAAAAACAGCCTACTTTAAAAAGGTCATTATGTATTTAAAATAGCAACGTTTCTCAGAAAATGTACATCACCTTTCAGTTTCTATGTTTATGACCAAAAATGAACCGACTTCTGAAGCTTTTCTGAGTTAAGATGCTTCAGTATTATGTAGGAAGAAAAGGAACTGACTTCTCTGAAAACAGTCATGATCGGCAAACAGGAAAGAATGCATTTTATCTCTGGAAGAAATCTTGTTCTGTGTGAGGTGAGATGTGGGTGCAGAGAGGGGGAAAAGGCACAGTCAAAAGGAAATAAATGACTGAAAAGATCCTCTCATAAATGTTTATTGATATGAAAATGAAGCATTAAGTGGAAATTGTTCAGCAAGAATACAGCCAGTGTTTCATAAACACAATAAAACAAAAATAAAATTAGCCAAACTTACTTTCATGCATTAGCTTTAATATTATATGAAGATTTAACTTTTGCATAGACCTGCATGCACCTTTTCCTCTATGCAAATGGGCTGCAGCACACAAAGTTGTGGCAATAAAATCAGCATCTTTTATAGTTTTTATTTACAAAAAACATAAATGATCCAAGTCCCAAATCTTTGGTCAGTCCACAGCTCAGCTCTTATTTTTTACGTTTTCCTGGTGAACTCTGTAACACACATAAAGGACAATGTGTGTTAATGCCAAGCAAACAATTATATTTGTTTTTATTTTTTTAGTTCAATGTAATGTAATTGGAGTTCATGTTCAACAAACCTGCAGCCTCCACACCAAAAATCCAACAAAGGCTCCATAGAGGCAGCTCTTGAAGATAAAAACGGCGTAGGAGAGTTTGGCATTATTTGTGATCTTCAAATATTTCTCTGTAAAAGAATAAATAAATAAATATCACAGGGGAAATGTTCAGTGTACCTTGTGGAGGCAGTTTTCAGTACAGATTGTGTTTAGACTTTTAGAAAATTCAAATTTAACAGTCTCTTACATACACTGATTTAATTTTGTGCCTGTGATGATGATGATTTGAGCTGTAATAAAACCACAAAATATGTATTTACCTCTTCCTATGCCTCTATCTTCTTGATCTAATGGAAGAATAAAATAAATTAGGAAAGAATACATTTATTTCCCATGTCATCAATTATGGATCATTCTGTGCTCCTAAACTTACCTTCAACACCAAGTTTTGTAAATGAATATTTGGTGTTGTTCTTTCCATTATAGAAACTGACAATGCAGGTAAAGTTTTGTCCCTCCGTGTACCAATCTTTAGCAGAAACTCTCAACCTGCTTGTGATTCTATAGGATACAGGGGGGGTTTCAATGCGCTCTGCAGCTTCATCTGTCGCCACACCATCAGTGACATTTTTCTCATTCATTTGCCAATACACTTCGACATGGTCAGGGTAGAAACCAGAGGCCACACAGACGAGGGTCTTCTTCCTTTTTTTGTCTTTGCTGTTTCTGCACTCATGTTCTGAAGGTCCCAGTATTTTTACTTCTTGTGGTGGAGTGCTTTCCCTGTTTTCTTCTGCAAGGACAAACGACAAAGAAGAATCACATTAACACACATGACTAAAACTGCCTTTAGATCTACAACAAATGTTAGGGCACCCAAGTCTCGTGCACATGCCAGGCAAACATTACAATTAACGCACAAAAACATCCAGGAGAACTTTTTTTTTCACACATATTAACACAAAGGATGAATTCAGATTACAAAACTCGCATTTTCTTTATTACTAAATTATTGTGGTGATCTTACCCAGAACTGTTAGCTTGGTTCCCTCTCCAAAATAAGGAGGATAAGTGCCAGAGCACAATGCCAAGTCACAGTCACAAAAACTCACAAGACTTAGAACACTTGGATTCACCTCAAGCATTTGTTAGTTCACATACAAAGCGATTACTCTGCTATGTGCAATTTAAATCACTTTTTGATAAAACAAACTGCACTTTTCTGCCAGCTGTTCCATAACACAAATATTCTTCCAGACATGAGGCCATTCTTTTTCAAATATCACAGATTTTCTGACACATTCTGAGACGTTTACTCATTTAAATGCAATTTAAAGGTTTACAGCATGGATGACGACATCTTTACATTTCTAAAGGCAAGTATTTATGCACTATTTTGTCACTTTCTTACCCAGTACTGTGAGTTTGGTGCCACTGCCAAAGTAAGCAGGGTCGTAGTTGTTCACACTGATAAACTGCTGTAGAAAAAACTGCT